CCTCAGTAGTTTCTATCAAAGTTACACAAGCATACTATTTCCTATTGACTTTTTTTTTTTTTTTTTTTCAGTTCCAAAGTCCTTTTCTGCTATCTGGTTGGCATCCCATTCACTGTTTCTATAATGTACTGTGTTCATCCATAATTTCAAAGAAATGGGGAAATTTCCTCCCCATGTTTCAAAAAATTCTTTTGTTAGAGCCAGCATAAATGGATTTGGAATCGTTTAATTCAGATGCTACATCTAAGTACATTTTATTCAAGAAGGTACAAGTGAAAAGGCAGGAAGGCTCCAAAAATTCAGACTCCTTAGAAAAACAGACAACTGGTTATCAACAATCAGTGGAAGAGACAAAAGTGCGGAAAATTGGAGGGACTTCCAGTTAAGGAACAAGCTAGTTAAACACAGAAACATTATCTATGTAGGCAGGTCAGGATTGGCTGTTTTATGCTGTGGTAAACAGAAAACACCAAAACATTGAAAGCTTAACAGAACGGAAGTGCTTCTTACTCACCTAGATCTGCTATCTATCCTGGAGGCATGGTCTTGGCTTGATCCAGTGGTGGGGGAAGTAACCATGAGAATATCACTGTCCTTTGACCTGTGACCTGGGCCCAAGCAATCAGAGGCTCCTCACCCCTCCACTGCTTTTGGAGTGTAGATTCTGTCCACCGTTCCCATAGTGGACTAGGGCAATATACAGTTAACACCATCTGGATGGTACACATAACTGACCACTGCAACAAGTCTATATAAACCTCAGACTCTGCCCGAGGAGCTGGGGTCTACTCATCTCACAACCGCTCAGCACAAGCCTTGTGGGGAAGTTCCCTTGCTTGTTAAGCTGCCACCTACCCAACTGGAGTGTTCTGCATCTTTCTCTGGGCTCTCCTCACCCTCCACCTACAGGAGCCAGTTTGCAAAGCAACACTCAGGGCACCTGTGATCACAAAGCTGGGCAGGAGCTCACAGGATGGCTTCATATGGGAATTGAGTACTTTAACCAAAGCATCACATGGCCTCTCTACTCTCATTTTATTGGCTAAAGTGAGTCATATCATCACACCAAACCTCATGGGGGCATAGAAATACAATTTCTTTCCCACTTCCATTTCCCAACCTTACATGCCTGGAAAGACTAGAAGCAGAAAAACACAGGTGAACTTCATAAAATATGTTCCTCACCCCAGAAAACTCAAAACAAACCTCACTTCGCCCTACTCTCAGTTTGTCATCTGTCTTCTGTACATTGTCTGCCACACCACCACACACACTTCCTTTTCAATGAACAACATTTAAATGCCTATGTTCCTCTATCTCTTTCCAGATTTAACCAGGATGATAACAGTCATTGGAGGCTCCGCATGGTGCCCCATGCTTTGCAATCATTCCTATGACAAGAGAGGTTGCATACACAGCCCTGTCACTGACTTGGGGTTCACAGCTCTGGTCAAGAGAGACCCAGCACAACTGAGACGTAAGAATGTTTAGTACTGTGGAAAATTAGGGCTCTGACACCAACATGTATCTTTAACTGGATGATTATCATGACCTTCTCTGACTTCTAGACCCATCTGTTCTAACTTGAGGTCCTTCCTGTTCAAATAACTCCATGGTCTCTTTTCTTGAAACAAGCAACTCAAGAAGGTGCTCTTTTACCTTTCAGCTTCCCTCTGCCACCATGCTCTCCCACACCCCCGTACTGTTATGTCTCAGGCAGCAGTACCTTACGTTTGGAAGATAGAATTAAACCCTTGGCACTAGTTAATATCATGTGGATTGGATATATATGTACAGTGACATATTGAGCTATAGCAGTTAGATATGATATAGCATTTAAAGTGGAGAAAGGAGGCAGAGCCAGGAAAGGAGACAAGCAAGGACTGGCCAGCAAGGTAGGAGGGAAAATAAGTGTGAAGCGTGGAAACCAAAGGGAAAACGTTTGAGGGGAAAGATATTTTACCCCTAAGGGTTTTATATACACTGAGTGGCCAGATTATTATGACCACCTGACATTTGTAGGCAAATTAGCCGTATGGGATATGGAAGCCTAAGGCCAATTCAATACATCGTATGGGATATGGAAGCCTAAGGCCAATTCAAACACCTTTGCTGTCTGCAGTTACCAAGATAAAACATCTTCAATTCCCACAGGAACACAAAGATTGGACAGTCGAGCATTGGAAAAAAGTCATATGGTCTGATGAATCATATTTCCAGTTGCATCATGCAGATGGCATAGTGAGAGTTTCGAGGAAACAGCATGAAAGTACATACCCCACATGCATTAGTACAACCCTTCAAGCCGGTGGGGACAGTGTTATGGTTTGGGGCATGTTTTCCTGGCATGATTTGGGCCCTTCACTTCATGTGAAACATTATCTGAATAGCACAACATTCCTAAGTATCATTGCTAAGTTCATCCTATCATGTTGATGGTGTATCCCAATGGAGATGGCTTCTTCCAACAAGACAATGCACCATGCCTTGGTGCTCATATTGTGCAGGAGTGGTTTCAAGAGCATGAGGGAGACGTTTACCTTGCATAGGTGGCCCCCACAATCACCAGATCACAATCCAATTGAGCGTTTGTGGGACGAAGTTAAAAGAGCCATCAGGGAGCTGGTTCTGCATCCATCAAATCTCACAGAACTGGACAGGCTATTCGTCAGGCTTAGTGTCCGATTCCTCCTATCACCTTTCAACATCTCGTGGAGTCAATGCCAGTAAGAACTGCCACAGTACGGAAGGCAAAAGGTGGCCCAACGAAGTATTAATGGGGTGGGCATAATAATCTGGCCAGTCACTGTATATTCTATTAGCCTTTTTCATAACTCTCTGCAGGCCAGGCCCCCTTGGATAATCACTCCCAGTTTGAGTCATTTTGATACTTGTGACCCATCTGACTCTGGCATTAGGCATCGCCACTTGGCCACTATTTTTTTAGGGTCTTATTGCCCATTACTATCAGTACTAGCCTTTGTAATAGTTTGTTTCTACTGTGATCAGTACCCTAGAGTCATCGCTAAATTTTTAGTGACCCTTGTCCCCTTCCTCCCCCAACAATTCTTGTCTTTATGGCCTTTGTTAAATGGTTTGTCCCTGGCCTTCCAGTTGAACATAATCATCTGATGATCTTCCAAAGATAATCTATCCATTCCAGCATGCCCATTCTCCTCACCCTTTTACTCCTTCTCTCCACCATCTGCCACAGTATTGCAGGCATTTCAGCTTTGCTCAGAATTGGCCATAGCTTTTTCCATATTTCTGGAAGTTATTCACCATCTCCCAGTAGCCAGGGTGTTAAGTCCTATTAAGTCCTGTAACCTAAGAACCCAATGTGGTGCTATGAAACTTTCCCCTAATTTTGTTTTGACCTCTATTATCAACATCCTCGAATTCTGGTCTCAAGCATACTCCTCCTGGCTCCTCCCAGCACATGCTGGCCAAGTCTTAGGGTTCCTTTGGGGAATAGTGGTTTTTCCTCTCTGCTAGCCCACCTGAGCTTTCTTTAATTTAAATTATAGTTAGTTAATTCTAATTCTAGGCCTAGTAGCCTGGAAATATTAATAGGACAAGTCCTGAGGGGGCACATATTGCCTAGAGAAGGAGACTTCTGTTCAGCTTGGGAGTGGGATGGGGGATCTTGTCCTTAACAGAGAGGAGTGAGCTGACTGCAAGGCTCAGAAAGTTCAGGAGTCTGAGAAGTAAAAATCTACAGCAGCTTCCATCCAGAAGTTTTTATCTCACTTGTTACGGTCCTGGGTTTTCTCAAACAATGCCCTGATCTTTGCATATGGACTTACTTGATGGGCAACTGTCCTTGAAGTTCATTCGTTCTGTTAAATCCTGGGCTTGGTCCTGTTTTCTCAGCCCTACTGCTGTAAGAGATGAAAGCTTTTTCTGCATGCATCCAGAGGCCCTCTGGCTCTCACACCTGGTTTCCACAGCCTATTACTGCCCTCAGCTGTTCATTATGTTTCTATAGAGTAAGCCATCCAACCCTTTTATTCTCAAAATTAGTTTTCTCTGTACTTCTCAAATGCCAGTCAGTCCCATAGTGTTTATTTCTACCACTCCATCCCAATTCATAAGTTGTAACAACTGAAATTTGTGCCAGCAACTGTCGGTTCTCCACCTCCATGAATGATGGGGTCTGGCTGCATAACTTTTTGTCTACCACAATATTAATCTCTGCTACTTATTTCTCATATTAGACCAAAAAAATGAAGATTACACAAAAATATTAGAATACTTTCCAGGGTTTACAAAATTAAGAACAAGAAATTAAATAAAATGTCAAAAGTATGTAACTGTAATACTAGATTTATTCAAAAAGAAATTAAATTTCCTGGGTAAAACATCTGTGTAATACTATTTCTGATTCTGTATCTGAAAAATAGCTTTGTAGTCACCTTTGTCTATACATTTAAACATTAGTAGGTACTATTCAGGATGTACATTGTGAAAAATCAGTTGCTAAAGCACACATATCATGACTATGTAAGATGACATGAAGATTTAATGAAAATTTTATAGAACATCTGACTTGCATCCTATGGACATACAAGGAAAAATACAATAACTCTATTTACTCATTACATTTTACAAAATCAGGCAGAATGTATTTATAAGCAATGTTTTTCATAAAAAGAGCAATTTAATTTCAAATATATTACCCTCCAATTATTCCTTTATCCTACATATGTATCAAATTGGCAAAACCTACCAAGTTACTGAAATCAGTAAAAATCCAATCCATGATGCTTAATTCCTTGTATCAATAAACATCTTACATTTGAAAATCACTTTTCTTATGCCATAAGCCTGCTTATCAGTTCCTATAAAAATGTTATGCCTACCCCTTGCCTAGTAAGTGTGACTAGTCTTTTGCACCAGGCTGTGACAGTACTTCTGAACACCCACACACGATTCATCAAGCACACATATTCCTGCTCCTCTCAGACAAGGTCACCAACAGGCAAGTAGTTCCTCTAATCCTACTGCTCTTCATAGTGAGCATAGCCACTGGCATAGGTCCTTCCTAAATTTAAATTAGTAAACAATTCTGATGATTCAACATCTGAATCCTTTCCACCTTCGTCATCTTCTTCTTCTTCATCCTCTGCTTCAGACTCATCCTCATCGTCGTGGTAGCTGGTATCACCATACTTATCAGATGAAAGGTTCTTCCAATAAGCATCGTACCCAGAAGCTCCATCTCCCTCTTCACCTCCAGCCTGTCTGCCAAATTTCAGGGAGCGTGCTACAAAACACAGTATGTACACGGCACCTCATTAGTTCCCGTTCTCTATATCCTCATTTTCCTCTACAATACATAACATTACATGAACTTGATTAGCTATTTCTTACTCCCAAACAAGTAAGCCACATTTTTCCTACTTTCCTAACTTAATATTTAATTGGAAAAAAAGAAGACCTTAAAAAAACGACTATCAATTCTATCCAATCTGAGGTCTACATACACACCAAGTGTAACAAATGTAAAGATGACAGTGTCATTTCATTAAATCTAGAAAAAGTTGGGAAATAAAATAGCACTCTCTTAACATAATAAGGCATGTTAAAAATTAAAATAAAACGCCCTTTTGTTTGATCAATTAAACATTTATTTCAAATCATAGCAGAGTTGATTTCATGTCATTATACTTTTTAGGGCAATTTTATAAGTCAGATGTCCTAGAAGACAAAGTCTTTAATTTATCCTTCCAGCAATACAAACTAGTGCAGAAAAAAATCAGCAAAATCATCAGTCTTACCTCATTTGATTAAGCAAAGTCATTTAGAATTATGGTTCCATTCCGAGATGTTTGGTAAAGAGTCAAATTGTGAGCTACATTACTATAAATGTTTATGGCAGTCTTATTCCTTCATAGAAAAGTTATATAAAAACCAAAAAGCAATTTCTTACAGTAGTGATGTAATACATAATAAGTATAGCTGCTCAAATACTACATACCTAAGAATTGCTTAAGAATGAATTCCAACTTTCCAGTACTAAAGATTACCAGCACTTAAATATTAAGGATTTATAGCTACTCAATTATTGAACAAAGAAGCCTCAGCAAAAAAAAAAAAAAAAAAAAAAAAAAGAAAGAAAGAAAGAAAGATTCCTTTTTTGGTCTTAAATTTCAGTATTCACTATGTCATTAACTGAGGCAAATGCCAAATATCAAAGTGAATGATGGTTTTCTTAAGGAAAATTGAGAAATGTTACCCATATATTTTCCAAGGCTGTAAAATCCCACTTCCTTAAGAAAACACATTTATCTTTTCAAATAGAAAAAAGAAGCAAAAACAAAAATAGAAAGAGGAAAAATCTTGTCTAAGCATGAAAGCAAAACCAACCCACTGTCATTTTAAGAGCCTTACTTGACATGCTAAGATCCTTAGTTTCCTGAGTTTCATGTCCACATTTAGGACAAGGAGGATTTTTTCCTTTTTCTTGTTTAAATACTTTGCTCCTTGAATGATCATCACAGAAACAGGCCTATACAGAGAAGTAAAAATGAACAATAATTAAAGAATTCTTTCAAGCAGGACTTATTTTTATTTCATTTTATTTTTTAAATATATTATTATTTATTTCAGAGAGGAAGGGAGGGGGAGAGGGAGAGATAGAAACATCAATGATGAGAATCATTGATTGGCTGCCTCCTGAACACTCCCTACTGGGGTTGGAGCCCACAACCCAGGCATGTGCCCTTGACTGGAATCGAACCTGAGACCCCTCAGTCTGTAGGCCAATGCTCTATCCACTAAGCCAAGTCAGCTAAGGTAACAATAAATAAATTTAAAATACGCAAAGATAACATTCACTATTTCAAGGAAATTTAAAGGTATGTGTGGTTCATTAGGGCAGAAGAGCTTGGGTTGGTCACACTCCTGACTTTAATTTCTTAAGAGAAATGTTCTCTGTCAGGACTCTTCAGAACTATGACCTAACACAAGGCAGAAACTATACACAGGATATGATATGTAGACTCATTAGTGAATATATGAGTATTCGCAAAGCCCTTGATGACATAATGGTGAAGAGCCTATCTTACCCTCACGTTGTATGCAGGCTAACTGGGGACACTGACAAGTGGAGAGGCCACTACAACGCACTATGCACTGAAAGAGAAAAGTAGAGGAGGATCACTAAACCTGGTGCAGGATTCAGGAAAGAACATGAAGTCTTAGCTGGGATCTGAAGGAGAATGGGGGTATAATAAAGACGGGAGAAGGATCTAAGGCAAAGGAAACAGCTTAGACAAAATTAGGAAAAAAAAAGTGGAAAGAGAAATAAGATAGGATTAAGAATATAAGCAAAAACTAGAGAAATGTTTCCGAGAGCAAGTGACTTGGTTGTATCTATTTAGTTATATTTGACAAACAAAAATGCTAGAGATAAGTTCCAAAGAATTAGAACATTATGGAAATCTTCACTCTCCTACAAAAGTGCATTTTAACATTAACTAAAATACATTCCATCATTTTGGTTAGAATTTTTTCCATAAATGTAAGGTGTGAAAACACTGAGCCAAGAATCAGGAAGCATGTGCACTAGTGTCAACTCTAGACAAGCCAACCTATAGCCTTTGCGAAGTCATAGAGATTTCTCAATCCCACAAGCTCTGAAATGAAGAACCAAAACTAAATAATGTTTAAGAATCCTTCCACGTTAATCAATGCTGTATGTAACTCAAGGACTAGTGTGGAATATGGGAATTAAAAACAAAAAATAAAAAATAAAAAATACTCAAGTATACCTTACAACGAAGACAAGAATGTTGACCGAGCCGATTGCACGAAACACCTGTGGGGAAAATACATAATGCCCAGATTAAACTTGGAATAAAAATACTATTTTCCTCAGATTTGTACTTGAAGTAGATACTATCTTAGGTCAATTACTAAGTTTGCTTTTCTGTCTCATAGTATAACTTAGAGGACACATAAAAATGAGATTGAATTCCAAATCACAAGAAAGGAAATCAACAATTCTTATATACTTTAAGATGTTCTTTTAATCTTTGAGAATTTCTATAAAAACATTCTAAGAGCTATATATATACACACATACACACACACACACACACACACACACACACACACACATATATCTCAATTTTAAATTTATGTGAATATAAGGATTAATAACTGATACCAGAACTACCAGAACAAGAACCAAATTCAAGGCAGTGAATATCTGGGGAATATCAGATGGCATCTATTATATAAGAACTAGAGGCCCGGTACAAGAATTCTGGGTCCCTTGGAATGCACCAGTAGAGTCCTTTGGCCTGGCCTGTGGGATTGGGCCAAAACTGGCTCTCCGACATCCCTTGAGGGATCCCAGGTTGCAAGAGAGCACAGGAGAGGCTGAGGGACCCCACCAATGCATGATCAGGTCCAGGGAGGGACGCAGGATGGCGGCCAGCTGGGGAGGGACCTTAGGAAGGCCCCAGGGCATGTCCATCCCATCTCACTCAGTCCCAATCCACCAGACCCCAGCAGCAAGCTAACCTACCAGTAAAAGCGTCTGCCCCCTGATAGTGAGTGCACGTCATGGCATGCAGTTGAGCAGCCTTAGCATATCATTAGCATACTTTGCTTTGATTGGTTGAACAGACAACCAGACACTTAGCATATTAGGCTTCTATTATATAGGAAGGCTTTCTAAGTGCCAGATATTATAGTAATGCTTTTCTTTGTCTGGATTCTCATTTCAATTAACTCTTTGAAAAAGAAATTCACATCTTCCTTTTAAGGAGATTTGGGTTCAGAAATATTTAGTAATTTGCCCCAAGTAATATGATCAAAAAGTAGAAATCAAGTAGCGTTTGACTCTAAAACTTGAGGTTTTGAGAATCAGAGTAGAAATAAAATACAATCTATATCTGTGAAGATGATACCATCCACCTAGTCAGTAACACTGGTTTCTCAAATAGAAAGATCCTTGAGAATTATGTGTGCAGGTTAAATGCATGTGCCTGGCACCCACCACAACAGTAAAAATAGAATCTCAGGGATGAGGCCTGAACACGTATTTCTTAAAATCCTCCATAGTGTCTTTGATGTATACTCCCATTTAAGAATCACTTAAAAGAAACCAGGGGTGGTATCCCTTACTTGGGGGCATCTGGAAGTGTGTGGAGACAAAGGAGATTATTTTAGTAGCTTAGAGATGAAAATGACATTTGGTATTCAGGACCAGTAATTCTTGATCATTCCCATAAAATAAAGAATTGGCCCAATTAAAATACCATAGGCACCTCTTTTAAAAAGAGAAAATAAATGTGTTATAAATTTTTTCTACACCCAGAAAATAGATTTGAGCTAAATTACAGTCCATAAGAGGCCGAATGAAAAACTGGATTCCTTTTTCATTGTTTAACACTCAGACTATTAAGAAACTTGGATATAAAGAACATTTAATATATAAAAACTTACATTTAAATGTTTCTGCTTCTAAAACCTGGCAGCTGGCTTGATGTTCAAATTGATCATCTTCACAGAGAAAGTTCTGGCAAAAAGAACAACTGAATATTCTGCCTCCTATTAGATTAAAAAAACAAAACATAAAAATGTAAATATGATAAGTTTTAATCTGAAAAAACTCATATCTATAAAACTGCTCAAAAAGGATGGCAAGTTATTTCAGATTTACACCATAATGACACAGGAGTTTCTGATCTGGTAAAAGCTACAATGAATACTGCTAAAATTAACCATAAAGAAAGAGACTCCCACTAACCCCTGGCTACACATACCTAATACAATGCTCAGAGACACTTGCTCTCCCATAACTACCTTTCCTGTTTTGGTAAACAATCCAAATGACTGTTAGTGCTAATATAAATCCCCTTTTCAACTAAACTAATAAGCAAAACAGTGTCCATATTTACGATTGAAAGCATCCTGAAAAATATGTTAAAAATAGTATCCAGGATGTTTCAAAGTCAGCCATCACTTAGAGCCAAGTTCACTGCCTATATGTAATCACTCACCATGGTCCCAGACACCTCGTTCACATTCCACACACTCTGCATCGGTAAGAGGGCAGGCACAGGCATGTGTGCTGAGACATTTCCGACCATGACATACCCAAGCTTCACAGAAGTCACATATTGCACCCTATAGCCAAGGAACACAAAAATTAATCTTCGTCACTTGACCAGCTGCAGCCATTGTCTAACACAGCGATTTTCCGTGTGCCACAAGAATTTTTCAATGTACAGTACCTATTGATCTCTTTTCCCTTAGATTGTAAATTTAAAAAAAAGAAAAATTACAATAGCCAACACAAGAGTCAGCCAGTGTGAATGTGCTGTCTTGAACCATGAATACATAGGTCATTTAATAGAGTTCCATCTTATTGGTCACACTGCATAAGAAGGTTATGTCTGATTGATCAATTCTTGGTACCAAAAATCCTTATATATAAATATAGGCACCTGATTTTTTTTTAAGTCACTTTGGAGCAAAAAAGGTAAATAATTACTATCATTATTTATTTTAAAAATCAATCAAAGTTATACCTATCCCCCACCCCTGCTTTTTGGTCAGATTGGCAAAAAATATGTTTTAGTGAGCCGCAGAATTTTAGTAATTAGTTTATTTGTGACATGAGGTGAAAAAGTTTGAAAGTCTCTGTCCTACCCAGTAGCTACCATCAAAGTTATATATATCTAGTAATTTATCAAACTTCAGTGACAGTGGGTGGCTTCATTGAAGAAGAAAAAAAATTTACTGTTTACTTAGCTAAAATTAAGAGTGAAAACTACTACACCAATAGCTATTTATACAGATCTTAGCTATATATCAAAAGAAAAAGAAGTAAAAGGAAAACTATACACTTACCCTAATATTAATCTCTGAAGTAAGTCAGGAGCTGTAAGTGTGGCCTTCAAACTGAATTCTAATTCAAATGAAATCTGGAGTCCACAGTTCAAGCATACTTGTCTACAGCAACTCCAGTAACTAAATTGAATGCTTCCAAATACTAATATTTCCAACTTAAGAAAATTCCTTGAGAGAAACCAAGATGATGGCATAGGTAAACACCTGAACCTGCTGCCTTGCACAACAAATTCAAAACTACAACTAAAAGACAAAATGGACATCATCCAGAACCACAGGAAGGTTAGCTAAGTGGAAATTCTACAAATAGAAGGGAAGAGAAGAGCACACTGAGACGCAGAGGAGCTGCGGAAGTAAAGGCAGAGGTATGGAGGCGCGTGCTCGTGGAGAAGGCTGGCAACTGAGTATGCGGCTGGCTTTTTCAATCCACAGGGAGACACAAGTTCCCAACTGTTCCGAACTCCAGTTCCAGGCGAGACTTGGGGGACCCAGACTCATACGGGGAGAAACTGTTTGGCAGCAGGCGGAACTCGAGGGCCACTTTCTCTAGAGGTGCTTGCAACAATTACCAAGGGACACTGAGACCCGGGGGTCTCTTAGGGAAGGGTGGATGGAAAGCCATTGCTGTTTGCTCTGCCTGAGACTCTGTCCCATCCAAGCTTTACCCAGAGGCTTTTGCATATGAATGGCCTAGTCCTTTGAAATCTAAACTTACCTAGCAAACTGCAGCTGAATCAGAGACCCAGAACATCCAAAAGAAGACCCAAGGCCCCACATCAGCTTGCATTGCTTCACAGCTGGGGCTCCTCTGGGCACCTCCAAAACCCAAACAAAGAAGAAGAATCTGCAGATCTCTCTGTAGCTCCTGCTGGGTGGCCTCAGGCAGAGGCTAAATTAACATCTCCTTGGAGATCCAGGAGCCAATGTTCCCAGGGGTCTGAGTGGGACTAGATTACAACTCCTCAGATCAATAAGGAACACACTCAGGGGCAGACTCAGTGAGCACTAAAGGCCCACTGAAGCAAGTCTTGCCTCATAAGGGTGTCTCCAGCACAGATATTCTCCCATCGTAGACACAGTTGATCCTCATAGCCAAATGGTCTGGAGGTCAATTCCTCCCAGTGATACCAACAAGAACCAAGGCTTAACTACAATAAGACTGCACAGAGCCCAGAAAGGGGTGCACCAAGAGTGTTCACCTCAGGCAACTGGAGAAGCTGAGCCACTGGGCCCTATAAGACACCTAGCACACAAAGCCACTCTATCAATTCAGGGAAGTACCCATAATGTGGAAACAAAGAAATAGGTCACAAATGAAAGAAATGGAGGAAAGCAAATTACTGAATATAGAGTTCAAAAACATGGTTATAAGGTTTTTCAAGAATTTTCTAGAAAAGGCCAATAAATTTAGTGAGACCCTTGAAGATATGAAAAAGGACCAACTAGAAATTAAGCATACACTGAATGAAATAATAATATGCAGAGATCCAACAGCAGACTAGAGGATCGCAAGAATCAAGTCAAAGATTTGAAATACAAAGAAGCAAAAAACACCCCACAGGAAAAGCAGAAAGAAAAAAGAATTCAAAAATATGAAGATGGTGTAAGGAGCCTCTGGGACAACTTCAAGCATACCAACATCAGAATTATATAGGTGCCAGAAGAAGAGAGAGAGCAAGATACTGAAAATCTATTTGAAGAAATAATGACCGAAAACTTCCCCCACCTGGTGAAAGAAATGGACTTACAAGTTCAGGAAGCACAGAGAACCTCAAACAAAAGGAATACAAAGAGGACCACACCAAGACACATCAATTAAAATGCCAAGAGCAAAAGACAAAGAGAGAATATTAAAAGCAGCAAGAGAAAAACAGTTACCTACAAGGAAGCACCCATAAGATTGTCAGCTGATTTCTCAACAGAAACTATGCAGGCCAGAAGGGAGTGGCAAGAAATATTCAAAGTGATGAATAGCAAAAACCTACAACCAAGATTACTCTACCCAGCAAAGATACCATTCAGAATTGAAGGTCAGATAAAGAGCTTCACAGATCAGAAAAAGCTAAAGGAGTTCATCACCACCAAACCACAATTATATGAAATGCTAAGAGGTATTCTTTAAGAGGAAGAAAGGAAGAAAAAGGTAAAGATAAAAATTATGAACAACAAATACACATCTATCAACAAGTGAATCTAAAAATTAAGTGAATAAAAAATCTGATGAGCAGAATAAACTGGTGAATATAATAGAATCAGGGCATAGAAAGGGAGTGTACTGACAATTCTCAGGTGGAAAAGGTGTGAGAGGTGTGGGAAGAGACTAGACAAAAATTGTACTACTATGAATGAGGACAGTCAGGGAGAGGTAAAGGCAGAGGGTATGATGGGAACCAGGTGGAGGGGAGCTATGGAAAGGGGGGAAGAGGAACAATTGTAATAATCTGAACAATAAAGATTTATTTTTAAAAATGAAGAAAATTCCTTATCTGTGTAATTTATAAAATAATCATATCGCTTTTCTAAGATAACCTAGACAACATATTAAATGTGTGTTAGCAGCTTTCTTCTTTTAAGGCATCTTATGCTTCAAAGCAATTGTCCTGTTTCTTTGGGGGGGGGGGGGGGAGTTAAAGTATAATATATAGAACTAAATGACAGGGTAAGACTTTCCATTTCTTTATCAAGATATGATACTAAGACTATATCTTTCAATAATATGAGGTCAAAAGTATTAAGGATTATAAAGAATCTTAATGGACTGAATGGTCTTTCCTTCACAGATGAGGTACAGGGGCCTGAGACCAAGTTCAAATCCCAGAACTACATTATAGAGAAGCTGAGATTTAAATCCAGGTCTTCAGAATCCCAGTTATACCATTCAAGGCCCTGTAACAAAAATAGTTTAGAGCAAATAGGAAAAATGTTTTATGACTTATAAAAATGGATTAATAGCCCTAGTTGGTTTGGCTCAGTGGATGGAGCGTCAGCCTTCAAACTGAAGGGTCCCGGGTTCGATTCCAGTCAAGGGCACATGCCCGGGGAATTGGGCTCGATCCCCAATGGGGGACTTGCAGGAGGCAGCCGATCCATAATTCTCTCTCATCATGAATGATTCTATCTCTCTCTCCCTCTTCCTTCCTCTCTGAAATCAATAAATATATTTTAAATAATAATAAATAAAAATGGATTAACATTGTAGCTAGCAAATCCTCAAATGTCTCTTGGCTTACTCAAGGTTCTAACAACAAAGACATAGCACACTAAAATGGGTAACATGGGAGAGTTTAAAAGAGATAATTTACAAAGGACAGGGATAGGCTCAGAAAAAAACATCAAGGGACAGAGAAAGGTGAGAGTTACCAGAACCCAAGCGAGAGCCATATAAAGAGGAACTCTACTCAATTCACATCCAAACAAGGGCAACGTGGTAGGAAATGAGCTGGAAGAATAATGACCCAGATGGTACTCTCCTATTACCCTACGGTATCCTGCCAGCATCTCCCATTGTCTGAACCAAAAAGAAGCCATAACATAAGTAAGCCATGAATGATCCAATCAGGCTTCTAGGACAAAGCAGGACAAAAAGAGGATTTCTAGAATTTATAACTAATGATTCATGATTCTACTTAAATATTTTATTTATATTAGAAAAGATCATACAGACTCATACAACTCAGTTAAAGTATTTGATAAATTTAGACATAAGCAAGCTACCAAGGAAGATGACCATGGTTTTTGAATATTTGATTGATTTTTGAAAGGTAACACTGACAACCTTATATTTAAAATAAAGAATTCACAAGATGACTATGAATAATTCTAGCTCCTAGCATCTGTAAGATAAGCACACATGAAATATGTATATAAAGATCTGCCTCCTGATAGGTACTTATATGTTCTTGAAATGTTACTAAAAATAAAATATTCTGCTTGATGTAAAATAGTATTATTTTAATCATGAACTGAAATTTGAACCAGAGCATAAAATCACACAATGGAATATAGTAAAACTGATTAAAAGGATAACTTTTTAGTGAAAAAGAGAGCAAAATGCATCACAAAAACATGTTTTTATTACTTAAAACAATGACTTTCCTTAGCAACTTATACATATAATGAAGAAATTATGTATAACCTGTATTAAATGTGTACTTTTTTGTACATAAAAGCTTTAAAATAAAAATACTGATCCTATGTTCTTTTAGAACGAGGTTGCTTATTTAATCAACAGCATGAACCTTGGGTAAGCAAGGCTTTCATAGTAAATGAAGTCTAAGTAAGACACATTAGAAAGATACCAATGACAAATGACTTTTATTTATGTCAAAATTAAATGTTTCCATTCCTTGTATGCTTCCGAGTAAGAAAAATAGGAAGCAGTTAAAAACAAGTAGGTAATAAAGGAAATTCATACAAAAACATGCCACAGATAACCCAGATAACTCCAGATTAATTAAGCTAAGGGATAAAGCAGTGTGATTAATATAATATATAAAAACCCTGAGTTGTAACAACCAGTAGTCCCCGATTGGAAAGGGTGCAGGCTGGGCTGAGGGTACCCTCTCACTACCACCACACTCCGTGCACGAATTAGTGCACCGGGCCTTAGCTCTGTAAGTGAGCATCAGCCAATGACCAGGGAGTCACAGTAGGATTTCAGGGCACATGCCGTTTCCAGGCTCAATCCAGTAAGGAGTGCAGAAGGCAGCCGATAATTCTCTCTCATCAATGTTGTTTCTCTCTCTCCCTCTCCCTTCCGCTCTCTGAAATCAATGAAAACATTTTTTTTAAATAAGTGTAATTTTAATTCACATTGGATTGCTATTATTGTGCTGGCTGTTGAAATTTTTTTTTAATTCACAATCTAAGAGAAAGGGGTCAGTGCCCTTGATGAAATAGTCAGTTAGTGCATGTTTTAAAAATTCTTGCAGTACACTGGTTGAAAATCACTGACTGGTCTAAGAGATAATGACAAGAAGCTTACCACCATTGCAAGACCAGTACTGTATACACCAGCATGCTTTATGACACAGTCTGAAGACTTCATCATGCACTTCGTTTTCCCTAGTAAGGAAACAAATTTATGCAATTAGCCTGGCAAAAGTAGCACTTGCAAGTAATCCATTAGTTATCTTTATCTAGCTTGTGAAAATAATTTTAAGTAGATAGAAATAAGCAGTGTACTGCTTACATAACAAAAAATAGAAAATGGATATAACTGAGATCTTATTACCTGAGTAAGATCTTTTGAGATTAGAAATTTATTAAAAACCAATTGCACAATAAAGTTGTGTTAATTTATATTTGTACTAAAATCAGAAATTCAGGTTATGTTTTGTAAGCAAACCATCACTACAGCAGATTTTAAAATACGCTTTAAAATGAATTTAACCTTTCATGCCCTAGCCTGTTTGGCTCAGTGGATAGAGCGTCAGCCTGTGGACAAAGGGTCCTGGACATGATTCCGGGCAAGGGAATGTATCTCAGTTACAGGTTCCTTCCTGGTTTGGGCCCTAGTCAGGGCTCGTGCAGGAAGCAACCAATTGATGTGTTTCTCTCACATTGATATTTCTGTCTTTCCCTCACTCTTCCACTCTCTCTAAAAAATCAATGGAAAAATATCCTCGGGTGAGGATTAAAAAATAAAAAATGAATTTAACCATTCATAATTCGCAATAAAAACAGTCAGGTTTAGTGCTCACTGAGTCTTGTACGTAACATCTTATTTCTTTCCACACAATATCTCCAACCAACCAAACAGAGATTATGCATCTTATCTGGTTCACTTTTTAAGTTTATTCATATACACATTTGCAGACATAACTTCCAGTTAAATATTTTTTCAAAAAAACTTTCAAATAGTCCCCAAGTGAGCACAAAAAACAGCAATAGAGCTAAAAAATCACCAGATAGCCACAAAAGCTCTGATATAACAGCTAATTACCAATTCAAAACACTGATAGGAAATTCATATACTATGGAAACATTAATAATGACACAGTAATCATCCATTTCATACTCCACAAAGTGGAATATGAAAGAAACAGAAGATATTCAATTTTCCATTATCTGATTATCTGAGAAACAAAGCTAGACAACAGAAAATAGGAAGAAAGGGATACTGGAAATGAGAGGCAACAGCTAGCCAACTGTTCTATGTCTAACACTAAGTATAAAATAAATGAGAAATGCATCTATGTATAACAAAATTTAAGCTCAAAAACATTGGAATTATAGGAAGGTCCTAGCAAGAATTTAATCTTTTCCATAAATTATTTTCTCATTCTATATTCATTTCTTTTGTAAAACAAGGATGTAACAACTGGCAGAGAATACCAGTATTCTCTTTTTCATTAATTATAAACCTTAATGATGTCTTCTTTGAAAGCTAGAACTATACTAGAATATTCAGGGATATAGCCCTAAACATCCCTAACTTTCTGCAATGTTATCATACGTAAACAAATTAAAATGAGTATATCCCAAAATGTGTTACACCTGAAACAATTATACCAAAACCAAAAGATATATTTGTTCAAGTAAAAGTTTGGGGAGAAAAATCTGTATTTCTTTACTGGAGGTCTTCAGAAACTTTACCATATAAATATTAGAGATCTGATGCACAAAATTCGTGCAAGGGGCTCAGCCCTCGCAGCCCTGGCTTCGTCCGGAAGGTTGTCCAGCTGGTCGTTCTGCTGTTCAGTCTGATTAGCATATTAGTTCTTTATTAAACACGATATAATAGAAATCTCCCAGATGGGGAAGGGAATGAAACACACATTTCTCAGATGTATACACTGTGCTAAAAACTACTTATTAATAGCACAAGTATTCTAAGGAAGACTATTTGATAAACACCAATCTTGTTCTGTGAACTACATTTAGTTTTACTCTGAATGATCATCTATTCTTAGTTTCCACTTATACCTAGGAAATGAGTATGTGGCTTAAGAACTCTATTCTTATCACTTGGGAATCCATGTGAAGAAATTCAAGAATTATATGCTAAATGCCAAACAAAAAAACAAATCATCAGGTACATGTGGAATAAAACTATTCCCAAAGGTCTAAAATAGTGCAGGCAATATTAGCAGGAATCAAATTTTAGGAAAGTAAACAAATGGCTATGGACAAGACTAAAGTAGTATAATTAAAAATCCAGGACCAAGTACTATTAGTCTGAAATCTGATCTTTTAATAAATGAAACAACATGTTGATAGCCTTGGGCAGAGTGGGTCAGTTGGTCGGGCATCAGTATATATATACACTGAAAGGTTGTTGGTTTCCCAGTCAGGACACCTGTCCAGATTGTGGACTTGATCCTGGTAGGGGGCATGCAGGAGGCAGCAAATATGTTTCTCACTCTTAAAAATCAATTAAAATATCTTAAAAACACAACAAAAACATGTTGGTAACCTATATCTAACCTATATGTGAACCGTTTACCAGCATTAAATTAAAGAGTCAAAATCAAGACTTGGTAATGTTTTGATAGGCAAAGTAACATTTAATGATATTTTATTAATGGTAAGGCATAACAATATTATAAACAGTGATAAACCCACCATTTCATATTGATTAACTGCCAACAAATATTTAATAAAAGGCAGGTGCCTTTAGTTATTATACTTACCACACTGTGCACAAATTGGTAACTTCTGTACTGAATTACAAAAATAGCAAAATGCTCTATTCTTCTGCCGCCTTGTCATGTAAAATAAATTTGAAAATATAGTCAATATCAGATAAAATATCAGAGGATCTATATTATTACATACAGATAGAAAAAGAAATAAAAACTTACCTCTGGCATTTGTCACATTCCTGTAAAATATAAACATGACATTAATTTCCTACTGGCTGAAAATTGCAAATTTACTTGCATTATAAAGAATATCCTGTTCTTCATATTAAAGTTTAAATGACACTTGCCCAAACCCACCAACTGCCCCCAGTATTCAGGAATCTACATATAATGAAGGTATGCTCTTGGACATGACACCCTAGACAAAGAAGTGGCATTTTCACAAAAGAGGTAAATAGAGGTAGTTTGTTTTTTAAAGAATCACACAAATAATAAAGAACAGACACAAGAAACAGTGTAGAACACAATATGATAAAGCTTACAGAAAATCCAGAATCTTAAAGCATGGTATTAAAAACTCTCAACAATCTGTCTCTAACTACTTTTCAAATTGCTGGTCTATTCTCTTTAGATTCAAGTCACTATTTTTCAGCCAATTTCAAAATATGCCTTGTACTCTCTTTATATGTATGCCTTATTTATTCTAACACCTTGCCCTGAAATGTCTCTCCTCAGTCTTTCCTTGTTGGAAGTTCTGGTGGTGATCCCACCTCTTCTTTAAACTGCAGCCCATCCACACATTCAACTTTATCACCTCTTAGTCCTAATTGTGCCTCCACTGCAATACTCACCAAGTCTGGCTGTCATTGTATATACTTAGAAATGTGAATTACTTCTTTCATCTTGCCCTCTGCCCCTGGACTCTAGAAATGACCCTGACACACAAAAGGAGGGTCCCCACTGTCCTATCTGTGCTATGTAATCCTGCTACCCCACTCCAGCCATAAATGTCAGTTCTGGAAATGGCACCACAAAGTCCAAAGTGTCAGAGTTCTTTCCCGCTCTAAGGTAATGACATGTGATGCGAGATATGCGAGTTACCGGTGCCTATGAACCTAAACAAATGGAATAAGGCAACCTGAGAAAATGGAACTAAGAAGCAAAAAGGAACAAAAGCAAAAGATGGAACTACAAGGTTGTTCCAGGTTTCAGTGGTCCCTGTGTCCCAGTTATATCCTTGCCCTGCCCAACTATACAAGTTAGTCCACTATTTCTCCCGGTTACGTAGGTTGGATTTGTCATTTTAAACAAACAGTTCTTAAGTACTGCACAAAACAACTGATCCATAAGCTTGTGGAAACAGGACTGTGTCATTCACCTATGTACCCCCACAGTGCCTAAAACAGTATCTGACAGCATAGAGTAGATGCACAAAAGTTTGCGGAATTAAGTCACGTTAAACACTTTGTGTATGTCTGATGAAACAGAAGATAAAAGAGGAGTAGGGGGAATAGAAAAAGTAGAGAGAAGTAGAAATTGGGAAATGTGGAACAACTCAGAGAAACAAAGTCAAAGAAAGCAAAGGACTAATGCTGACATAAATAGTGCTTGCTTTTCGCAACTTTGACCAAAGAAGCCCAGAAGTGGCCAGCACTAACCCATTTGGCACAGGGAGAAAAGGAAGTAGAACAGGAAACCAAAGGAGATGTCAAGAACAGTAGAAAGTTTAGAAATGAAAAATCAAATGAGTTATAAAGAACTGCTAAGAGAAAATGATAAAAAGGTTACAACTAATAAGACTAACTGAATTAGGACACATAAGCTCAGAGAAGCTGGAAAATTTTTCACAGCAATCCTAATATGCATTCTTGGTAAGTATTCATCACCAAGAATAGCCAAGGTAATATGCTAGGTTTTATCAATAACATAAAATCAAACAAAAATCACTGCTACTCAATGTTAATGAAAACAATGGACATGCCTCTAATACAGATTTCAAAATCAATAAAATATATGCAGCAACACTGTACTCACTAACATTTTTTTTCAGGTGTTTTTCCTATATCTGATACAGTTTTTCAACTATCAACTGATACATAAGAAGGTGTTACCATTGAAGCATTGCATGGGTGTTTAGCTAAATCTATAGTGCTTCTCGATGCTCGCAGCTGTTTTTCACGTTCCCGGCGGTTCTCTGCCTTCTTCCTTGCACCAGTCTTTTTTTTAGGCATTTTTCCCTCTTTCAACAAAAGAGAACAGAGAAAGTATAAGTGCCAGGTTGCATTTGCTATTCTAAATAAACTAATAAATTTTAAACTGAAACCTGTAGTTTTGATGGGTAAGCAATTTTAAGACTTTATGAAACATTAAGCACACATTATCGCAAGTAAAATACCCTGTTTCCCCGAAAATTAGACAGTGTGTTATATTATTTTCTCCCAAGGTTGCGCTAGGTCTTATTTTCAGGGGATGTCTTACCTTTCCATGTGCTAGGTCTTATTTTCAGAGGATGTCTTATTTTTGGGGAAACACGGTAGATGCCTTTTAAAATAATGTACTTACTTGCACTACCAAACAATTCTAACAAATGTAAATACATACACACACACACACACACACACACACACACACCAAATCATCTTAAAAGCCAAGTTTTCTTTCCCATTGGAGAAAAAAAAAATGTTTCCCTGATAGTAAGTATTCTTTAAAAATTACTCTGTACCAAGGTAAAAAAATAATTAGGTAGATAAAGTTTAAAAAGTATATTAGTTACCCAGTTTACATCACTGTTTTGAACTTTATATTCAAACTAGATGCCCGGTGCATAGATTCGTGCACCAGTGGGGTCCCTCAACCTGGCCTGAAGGGAACGGGCCAAAACTAGCTCTCCAACATCCCTTGAGGGGTCCCAGACTGTGAGAGGGCAGTTCTCAGGTGTGAAACACCCTGGAACCGGGCTCCCTCCTCTCTGGTTTCTGGTGCATCACCCTAAAACCGCTGCTGCCAAATCACCACAGCTCAGCAGTTCCTGCATTTGAGTCTCGGCCCCTGGTAGTCATTGTGTGTCATAGCTACCAGTCAGCCTGGCCTGCAGACATCCCCCAAGGGGTCACAGATTGTGAGAGGGTGCAGGCAGGCCAAGGGACCACACTGGTGAAGGATCAGGGCCAAAGAAAAACCAAAGGAGGGCCCCAGGGCATGTCCAGCCCATCTCGCCTAATCCTAATTGGCCAGACGCCATAAGCAAGTTAACTTACCAGTCAGAGTGTCTGCACACTGGTGGTCAGTGCACATCATATCTACTGGGCAAATGATCACTTAGGCTTTTATATATATACTAGTGGCCCAGTGCACAAAATTTGTGCGGGGGATGGGGGTAGATCTCTCAGCCCAGCCTGCACTGCTCCAATCGGGACCCCTTGAGGGATGTCCAACCGCCAGTTTAGGGATTGGGCCTAAACCAGCAGTCAGACATCCCCCTCACAATCTGCGACCACTGGCTCCCATCTGCTCACCTGCCTGCCTGCCTGCCTGATCGCCCCTAACTGCCTCTGCCTGCATGCCTGATTGCCCCTAACCTCTCTGCCTGCCTGCCTGATCACCCCTAACTGCTGTCCTCTGCCAGCCTGATCTTGCCAACTGCCCTCCCCTGCTGGCCTGGTTGCCCCAACTGCCCTCCCCTGCCAGCCTGAACGCCCCTAACGGCCTCTGCCTCAGCCCCACCACCATGGCTTTGTCTAGAAGGAAGTCGGACATCTGAAAGATGGCTGGACGACCCTGTCCAATCAGCATATTACCCTTTTCCAATCAGCATATTACCCTTTTAGTTATATAGATATATTATATAGAATAGGATTGCTTAAACGAGGGGGGGGGGGGGGTGCAGCCATTTTCATCAGGAGGAGATGCTCTTGGCAGATAAAAATATACATAACCCCAATATCTGGACTGATAGCCAGCCATAGGCACTATACTGCTAACTGATCATTAAAAAAATGGAACCACTTTCTTATACCTTACACCAAACAGCTATTGCCATTAAAACCCTTCCTCAGCCCCCACCTTAGGTTCTGCCTTCACAGTTTACCCAGATTAGGTACTGATTGGTAGGCTTCTATACCAGTCAGTGTCAAAAGCTCTGCCTCTTAGGCAGTCGCTGGCTCCTTGCACTTCACCCAGATTTGGTTCTGATTGATCAGTTTCTATGCCAGTCAGCATCAACAACTCCACCTCCTAGGATGATTCTGGTCAAGGGCTTGTATTATACCTTGGTTGTGGGTATATCCCCGTTAGGGAGTGTGCAGAAGGCAGCTGATCGATGCTTCTCTCTCATCGATGTTTCTAACGATGTTTCTCTCTCATCGATGCTTCTATCTCTTTCCCTTCCTCTCTATAAAAAAATCAATAAAATATATTTTAAAAAATAATGACTTTAAAACTGGCTTTCATCATTTGGTTGAAAGAACTACCACATTTAATAGAACAAGTATTTTACTCAATAACACATTTTTCGAGGATGTTTGCCTCCCAGCTCTGCCTGGCATATATTAATCACTCAATAAATGAAGAGACACACGCATGAAAGACCTTACACGCGATTGCTTTGAAATCTGAATCTCAAATTCCTTAGTATTCTTCAAAGTACATATTTTTAAAGTTTTTTTTTTTCCTAAGAGTGATTCTCAAAAATCAACTGCAGAAATTCCTAAAAGTACAGATTGAGACTTTCAGGCCCTACTCAGGATCTAGGAATTCCAAACCCCCAAGGTTTCCCTGTGGGGACTGTGACACACAGCCTCCCTGAAGACACTGATTCCAAGACATCAACGTGTGCCCAGGACACATGGACAGAGTTCAAGGAAGCCGGCCTTGAAGAGACTTCTCTTTTTCAAAAGGGCGTATTTAACATACAATACAGCAAAACCACGCACCAGCTTGTCCTGGAAACAACACGAAGGTCCCTCAAGAACTTTTCCTACTTTGGGTTTCAACTCTTAGGTTAGAATATCCCATCAAAAACCAAGTGATGGGAAGTTGCGACTTATATAAAAAAAAAAAAAAAAAAAAAAATTGGACAAACCAAGCCAGGACGTTCGATAGGTGGCTCCTCAAATCTTGCCCAAGCCCACCAGGTCACCTTTCAGTAGTTAACATGACAAAATCTACAGGGTGGGGAAAACGTGGACTCTTACGGCCAACAGGGCACAGGACACAATTTCCGGGTGACCAAACGGAGGAATTCTCTACGTCCCCAGGGGTGAGCCGCTGAGAAAGCTGGGCCTCATTTTTTCCCCTCCAGGTTTGGAAATTTGAAAAACAAATTTTCTCAGGCTCGGATGGGGTTAAGCCCTTCTCCAGCAACGCTCCGACCTCTCCAGACCGTGGCCCCTGTCGCCAAACGAGGAAAAGGGCGCGGGGTCGCCACGGCCCGGGGTGGAGGGAGAGCCCGCCGCCAGAGGGGACGCAGCGGGCGGGGCGAAGGGGCGGGCGGGCGGCCGGAGACTCATCAGAGGTGCCACGCGGCTCGGGGACCCGCCGACCGCCACCGCCCGCGGGACACCCTCCCTCGCGCGCGCTCCGGGCCGGCCTCGCTCACCCGGGCGGGGAGGCCGCGCTCACTCCGAGGGCAGGGGGGAGGCAGGGAGCGGCGGGGTGACGCCCGCGGCGGCGACAGCAAAGCCCGCTCGTGTGGACCACGACCCGGGGTTAGGAGGTAACTGACACGCAGGGAAGGCGGGCAGTCACTTTCCCCGACTCCAGGAGCCGGACCGGATGTCCTCTGACGTCAGCGCGTCCTGACGGCGGCGCGTAGACAGGGGAGGGCCCGCCCACTTCTGTTGGCCCCACCCCGTCCCGCCCACTCCTGCTGGGGAGCGGGCTCTCTCTTGGGGAGAGGGAGGCCGGATGGAAAGGAGGATGCGGGAGAGAAAAGGAGAAAAGGGGGAAAACAGAGCGTAAGGAGCTGGGAAGGCCCGTCTTTTTTATGTTTTCAGAGAAGGAGGAATCTAAAGGAAGAGAAAAACCTAAAAGGAAGAGGGACATGAATTCACAAACTTGGCACTGTTTCAGTGACTCAGAAAATGTTGGGAAACTTCCCACCATCGATTCCTCGCATCCCACTCTCCCCATTTGCTGCCCACGCTGTGCCTTTGGTTGCTAGGCGAAGCGTCTCCGAAGTGCAGGATACGGATAAGCATTTCTTCCACACATCCTCTTGTTGGGAGGCAGGGTCACCCCCCTTGCTCCCAAAGCCTCACAAAGAGAATCACTCCCTTTTCTGTGTAGCCATGCCGCTTCTCATCCTTTATGGTTACTCTTTTTTACCCACAACTTAGTAATGGAAGACTTTGTAACTTGACTTCCAACTTCTGCCTTCACCCATTTACATCATCCAAAGGGAAGACCCATTAACATCATCCAAAGGGAGGACCCATTCTCTTGGGTACTTGGATTTCTTCAGCTCCAGTAGCCATCACCTGCACTCCACTACAGGCACCCAGTTCTTAAATGTGTTTGTCGCAGGACCCTTTCAAAACTCTTAAAAACTGAAGACCCTAATGAGCTTTTGTTAATGTGGGTTATGTCTATTGATATTTACCATATACAAATATTAAAACAAAATTTTAAATACTAATTCAATAAAAATAATACTCGTAAGTATATTACATGTTAATATAAAGAACATATTTAAATGGGGAAAAAAATAGCTATATTTTTCCAAACAATAAACATAGAAGAGTGGTATTCTTTTACAGTTCTGCCAGTCTCTTTAATGGAAAGCTTAATAGAAGGCAGGTGAATTCTTATACCTGCCATGCTATTGAAAAATGTGTTGATGTTCTCACTTTTCCAACATATGGTTAGCCAGAGTAATTGCAAAGAACCCTCTGGGGAAGGACTGGGGACATTATTGCAGTGTACATCTTTCATGATATTCCAGGCTTCCTCCTGGGGATCCAGCCTCTTCTCTGCTGATGGTTTCCAGATCCAAAAACTGGCTCAGACTTTAACACCCAGCAAAGAACTGTGACTAGTTATTGGAATGTGGTTCTCAGGCTCCTGGTCTTACACTCCTTGATTTCTTTTTATTATACAGGCTGAGCAGGGTCCTTGTTTGGTTCCCATACATTATGCTCCTAGGAGCTGAGAGGGACCGACTATTTTATGTTTTCATTATGCTCCTAGGGACACTGTATTCTCTTATTCATTCCCCTAATCTTAGGAGCAATCC